ATACTTATAAGCTATAGAGACTTAAAGAAAAAAGAGGGAAAAAAGCCTTAAAAAACGAAAGAATAGAGAGATATATATACTTATAAGCCTGTAGGTAGATATTCTATGCTTTGAGAGTGTAGGGTAAGTAAGGTGAATAGAAAACGATTATTTTTATTATTCTCATTTATAAAGAAACTATTTTGAGTCTTAATTATATAAAGAAAATAAAGAAAGCTTGACAACTATATATAAGACTATCAAAAGTATCATAAAGTCGAAAGATATATATAACAATAACAAATAAAGAAGATAATAAAAGCTTATAAAGCTAACTTATAATATATTAAAAGCAGACGATTATAAGGACCTTTAAAACAAAAGATAATAACTAAAAGAATAAAGGCTGAAGATAATATATAGATAATCTAAAGCTAGATTTAAAAGAGGCGGCAAATCAAATAATAGAAGAAGATAATATACTATAATAAGGGAAGGATGTTTGATGCTTATATCTTAGGCAGATATATAATATGTTGAGTATAACTTAACCATCCTCTAAAAAGGATGAATATAATAAGTATAATAGATACAATATAGAATATATGATAGATAAAAGTATAGCTAGACACTAACTAGACTACCATCATATAGTATCTAATGATAGATTAAGGTTGAACTATCATTAGTATTAGAATGACTTAAGATTAGTTAGAAATCGAAGGAAGAATTTTGTTCGTATGAATTAAAGACACTAGCTGAAAGGAATATAAGGTATGATAAATTTTTACCTAGCTAGCGCCTAAAGGGCGGTTCGACGATGGACTAACACTAGCTTAACGACGACTCGAACCTAGGTATAGAACGGTTTTCCCTATATCTATACTAGTATAGCTTAGACTATTATGATTATATGCTGTCATATAAGTAATAAATTATTATTATTATATATAAATATATATTTATATAATTTATTCTTAAAATAATTATATTTATTAGTAGCAAATCAGTAGCTACTAATTTACTATAAAGATAGGTTAATTAGTAAAATACTTTATTATAAAGTACTGTCATTAGTTTATAAGGAAATGGAAGGTGATTCAATTAGTAAAAAAACAGTTTTGACACTCACTCACGTTCCAGCCTCCGTATACCTCCTCCACCGAATACCGGATTACCTATTACCTAGGTAAGCCAGGCACCCACCGTCGTACCACTATTTGATGCTTTAGAGAGAGGCTTTGGTGGGTACCCATTGGAGGGGCATCTCGGATATGTTAACATACACTTGCCCCGTTGATATTATTAGGGGGACATGAAAAGACCTTATCTCTAGCCTGCGTGCCCAATGGTGCCTTACCACTAATTGCACCTCACCGTCTGCTGGGAATCATGTGTTGGCTTGTGAAGCCATCAATTAAAATGTGCCAACGAACTACTTCTATCTCATTAGCTTAAATAAAAGTCTATCACGTAGGCAAGGACCATACGTACTATACAGCAATCATCTTCGCTTCGGTACGCTATCAATGCAAGTTTTGTAGGCATGCCGATTGCTATTCTTATCCGGTCTAGACTTCTCTACTTGCCTACTAGGTAGCTTCCTATACAAGATCCCTTCACTCAGCCATTAGACTTAGTATAAAGGTCGTTCAAAGTCTTGGTGGCAAGCGCCGTGCTTACGCCATACGAGACAGGCATCTTATGATCATTAGGGCAGAGTCTCTTATGAATAGCCTATCAGCACTCCAGCCTTGAGTAGATTATGTAGATTCATCAACTCCAGATATCTTACTGCCTCAATGGCTTCTTCAGCCGATGCTTTGCTCGCAGAGCATCCTACGAATCCCGTCAACAACCCTACCATCAAGTCTAGAACAAGGAAGGTCTAGGCTGATGACTATCACTCTATCGCCAGAGTCACCATACACTCTACTGGATTGACAGAGCCAGTCACAGCTAATTTCGATAACCCATTCCAAAGAGACTTTACAGACGATCGGCTACGAATGAGCGGTTTCGGTTACCCTCCAAACTTCAGAAAGTAGCGTCTGGATATAGAGGAGGATATCAGTACTTAGTTTCACCATAAGGTTTCGAATATAGTTCTAGTCGCCTTCTCTCGATATCCGTGCATCCTTCAACAGTCATTAGCAAAGCCTTTGCATAAGAGGAATATAAATAAGGCTATTAACTTCACATATTCAATTAGACACAGAGGTCGGCATATGCCTCTGGTCATTGGGAAGGCAAAGAGAAATATCATTATGCCAGATGAATGGTTGGAAGGCAAGATTGCCCAATCAGATCAGAAGCGACTATCTAGAAAGCTACGAGGGTACGGGGCCACAAAACTAAGGAATGACAAGCCACTGATAAGTCACAGATATGCCTATAAATACAAGTGCCCCCAGATATTCTACTTTGATGGTGATTACCTTCTAATGCTCCAGTTCCGGGCGAAGCAGCATAGCGATATCAAGAAATCAGACTGCGAGGTTGATTGTTGGTTGTTCCCACGAGAGAACGAAGGGGGTTGCACTCTTTGATATGTACTCTACCGGCTCCTAGTCCAAGGCTTTCGGAGATGCCAGAGCGAGTGGGCCTTGAATCCCGCTATTGGAGGGTTGCAGCCAGCTTATCGCCAATTTTTTTCTGGCAGGCCGTTGTGGAAGATCGACGGCAAGTATTACTACCGTCCTTGGGATCACTATCGGGTTATAGACGTTACAACAGGTGCCTTTTACTGGATGTATGGTGAAGACCCTGTGATAGTCAATAACGATCAGAGGCTCTGGGACACGGAAGGCTTCTAGAACCTTCAACCTACTGTATAGGTCGAGCCGCCCGTTAAGCCGGAGGTTGAGCCTATGGACGAAGATGAGATTTATATAGCTGGTTGATTTGAGATTCCTGCTAGCTAGCCTCCATATCCCTCTGATGCTTCTCGAACTGTCTCACCAGGTGATTTATCATGTTTATAGCAACTTGTTTCTCTACATCATCTTCTACAAATTCCCAACGCTCTAAGTCTAAGGTTATAATCCTGTCTCCAATAAGGTGAAATTTATCGAGCTTAACATCACCAGGAGAGTAGCCTCGGCTATAAAGTCTATCGAAAAGCCTCTGTAGCATCCCTCTTATATCCTCTGGATCGATCCTGGCAAGACCATCATCATTCAAAGGTTTGCCACCAACATCTAAGAGAAGCAAGGCGTAAGTCTTGCCAAATTACGCTTCTCTATAGCAGATAGGAATCAAGATGCCTTGGAGATCTTTCAATTCTATGTATACAGCTTTCTTATTCTTAAAGTCACCCAACCAATCTGTCTCTGGCTCTTTCAGTTTTTTGAAGATGATCGTGGACGGCATACCTAGCGTAGGCTAGACAGCACGAATATAGCCTCGAATACCCTCGGAAACATGGCTCAACAGCCTGTGCAGACGGCCAACAAGGCCCATTTGCCAGATCTCAAGGCGGAGGACGTTATCGTGGATGTGGTCAACCTGTCGACCTAAGGCAGACATGATGCTGCCTCCAAGTTTGAACTATTACTGCTGTCAGTAAGCCAAACTCCAGGAGGTGCGGTCGTCTCGTACCGTACAGTCAATCGGTTTCTCGGACATGGCGAAATACGGAGCAAAATCGAGAGTCATGACAAGACCACCTAGATGACATGCTGGCCAGTTGTTCTTGGCTGTTGGGATGCTGCGGACCCCAGCCCTGGCACGTGCGTAGTCGTAGTTGTTTGCGGGAGGTGGCGCCATGTCTCTTCGCGTGCGGTGTGCACAGGCCTCACAAGATCAGCGCTTTACCAGAGGACCCAGCAGTTTCGTCATCCATTGCTGGTATGAAGACTGTACAAGTATTTTGATTTAGACGTTTGCAGAATTGAAGAAGATCATTGCTGGTACTTTCGATGGAAATGGCACTCTGGATTGCCCCCAGGTTTTCCAGCCACTTCCATCTCTTAACACGGTCCTCCGACCATGCCCAAACCAAGAGCTTGTTGTCGGGCAACTTGCCCCACTTCATCCGGTAAAGACTCAGACAACGCTATCCCTTCTCGCGACGAACATTTCACCCAATGATCTTGCTTTCGACGCACCACGACGACTGGAAGTGACTCCTCTGAGCAATGTCAGAAGGCGGCGGATCGAGCAGCGAGCAGGCAGACCGTGGCCACGGCCCATGCATGCCCACGCATGCCCACGCATGCCGTTGCGTCGAGTGAGAAGATCAAGTCAGTAGTAGATCGGTTGGTCGGTCGACAAGCGGCAGGAACTCGCCGAGCTTTGACTGAAAAGATCAACAAGTATAATCATCTGGTTTCTTATTGAAAAACAAAAACAAAATATATCTAGAAAAGATCAAGGTCGTAAGATCAGCTTCTAGATCTCTAAGTAAGGCAGTCAGTCTTAAGGCTCTATAGCATAGCCTCGTTCAATTTGGCGGCTTTTCTTTTACAACCACCCTTTTCTACTGACATGGCAAACATACACACGTTGTCAATATATCAATATAGTCATAAATGGCGCCTCAGAAGCATGAGTTCGATATGGTTAAAAAGCAAGCTCGACAAAAGAATATTCCGGAATCGGATTCAGCACAGCATACTGACTGCATAGTAAGCACCCGACGCTAACAAGCCTAGGTGGGGATAGGGATAGGGCATCCCTCCCAGGCCTGTCAGGTCTGGATACCTGGGTACCTAGGCAGACGTCCCACTAAATACAGCCTACCAGTACCTACCTACCTTAGGTGAGATACACGCTAACGTCATGTACCTCCTAGACCCCGCCATCCATGTGATTGCCCTTTGTGACCCAAACCTGCGCTGCTTCATAAGCTGCATCATCAACCTCAACACCTCAACACCAACACCTGGCAGGCTGGTAAGGCTCTGTCCTCTCTCCCTACCTTCCACCAATCTCCAGTATCTTATCAAGATTATCTCTCCTCAACTCTTGGTTTGATAGACACCTACACCTATTGCACCCAGCGTCTCGTTAAAGCGAAGATGAACATCATCTACTCGACCGTCAACACGCTCCGCGACAAGTACACGCCTGTGACGCACACGTCGACCTTCCGAAAGACGGGCCAGATCACGCCCGACGAGTTCATCGCGGCCGGCGACTACCTCGTGTTCAAGTTCCCGACCTGGGCGTGGGCCGACGCCGACCCGGAGAGCAGGCGCGTGGGCTACCTGCCGCCCGGCAAGCAGTTCCTGGTGACCCGCAACGTCCCCTGCCACCGCCGCCTCGATGCAGACTTCGCCGGAGATGCGGGCCACGAGGAGGCGCTGGTGGGCGACGGCGACGACTTCAAGGGCGCGGGCGCGGGCGCAGGGGCCGGGGCCGGGGCCGGGGCCAACGACGACGAGGACGGCTGGCTGCGCACGGGCGGCCTGAGCAGCTCGCAGCCTCTCAAGGCGCGGGAGGTGCGGACGGTGGACGACGCAGGCAACGTCGGTGATGGGGGATTCGTGGACGACGATGACATTCCGGACATGGAGGACGAAGACGACGACGAAGCCATCATCAGAGACGCAGAGGGCGAAGGCAGCAACAGGTAGGCGAGCGGCCCTCGATGACGTTGCATTGCATTGCATTGCATTGCATCGTGTGGAAAAACAAGTGGCTAACTTTCTCTCGCTGCAGCGGACGCCGAACATATACCCTCTACATCATGTACTCGCCGTACTACCGAACACCGCGACTCTACATGTCGGGCTATCTGCCGAACGGCCAGCCACTTGCTCCCCACCTCATGATGGAGGACATTGTCGGCGACTACAAAGACAAGACCGTCACGCTGGAGGACTTCCCCTTCTTCGCCAACAACATCAAGATGGCTTCTGTGCACCCCTGCAAGCACGCGCCGGTCATGAAGACACTCCTCGACCGGGCGGATGCAGCCTTGAAGATACGGAGAGAGAAGCTCAAGGCTGGCGTCGTGACGGGGGGCCAGGGCATGGAGGGGCTGGTCGACGAGATCAACAAGCTGGACGTGTCTGGCGTGGAGGCTGCCGCGGACAAGGCGAGCGAGAATGAATGGGAGGAGGTGCAGCATGAACCTGACGACCAAGAGGTCGCGATTAGGGTGGATCAGTACCTCGTTGTCTTCCTCAAGGTAAGTTCGTCCCCGGGATGGTCACGGTCAAGATTCTAATCGCCATCACAGTTCATTGCCAGTGTCACGCCGGGCATCGAGCACGACTTCACAATGGGTGTCTGAGCGGAGTATTGCTGTGTTGTGTGATGTTGGGGTTTCGGCTTGGAGTTTATCACGGCGTGCCAGATAGATTGGTCCGCCGAGAGCACTTTGCTTTGGCAGGGGACTTGACCTCTCTTTCTTTGACAAGTAATGCGATTATGATTATGACCGTATGCGCCGGCCATTCATACAACCATTTTCGAAACTGGTGTCCTTTGTGATACTCTCTCTCTTTATATTATTAAAGCGGACTGATACAGTACAGTAATGTCCAGGTTCGCTGTCCATTTTTGGATGTTGAAACGATATCTCGTTTGGGTTAGTGTGGGGTTTAGACAGTGCGTAAGTCAGCCATGGAAGTACAGAGTAGAATACTGTCCGAACCTTGCCTTCGTCCATTTCCTTCTTCATGAGTGGGCCGGTGCTGCCGCTGCTTTAAACTGTGCAATGGGTGTGCAGTGGGTGTGCGGTAGGTACTCTGAGTGCTGGTGATGGCGCTATTTGGGTGCCTCAATTTGCCACCCTACTAGGTAAAGTTGCCGGAAAGCCAAAAATAGAACCAGGCCCTTACATGCCTTTCCTAACCGACTCACCAGGATCAGGCCGGCCAGGTCCGTGATATCGTGTGAGAACTTTCTTTAATTACAGAATGCTCCAATGAGGCGACAGGTCCGGCGAGGCTTTATCTAGAGTTAGAAAGCTCAATAGATGTTAGTCTTGATTTTAGGCCTCGTCCGACAGTCTCTCTCGAACTAGAAAGCTCAAACGACGCTTCTAATCCTAGGTTTCTCGTACGAGAGTTTCTCTAAAATGAGACAATTCAGAAAGGCCAGCACGATAATGTGAAATTCGCTGTTATTTCAGCTTTCTAAATCGAGAGAAATTCTCGGACGAGAGACCTAGGAGTAAGATTGTCTTCATTGAGCTTTATTGGATGAGAAGCCTCGGAGAAGCATCCAGAAGAATCAGAGTGGAGCTGGAGCGGCTGAGCCGGGATGACTTAGCTTGGTTGAGGGTGGTTAAATTAGTTTCCCTTGCCAGAAAAACAGCCGGTTTGCAAGTAACAAGTTGATTTATACACGGAGCAAAAAGATCCAAAGTCACCTGCAGATAAGATTAGATGGAAGCGTACGGGCAACCACGCTAGCTGAAACACCGTGATCTAGAGCCATAGGTACTGGATCATCAGGGCCGTGGGCGATCTAGTATTTTTATAAGTTCTGTATAAAGCCACGCTCATGACTATACCTGGAGATGAAAGACTGGCTCTTAAGCTATCAATATCTACTATAGTTCATTTGTACTATTGGATCGACTTGATCACGATCAATTGTTTTATTGCTACAAGGCTCACATATATGGGTATGTGTCACGGCCAGAAACCGGACCATCTGGATCGGCTTGACATATATTCGAATGGTAGATGCCTCCCAAACTCTAAGTTGCTCCTCTACGTTGCTCGTTTGGTTCAGGGAGCACGACTCGACCGATAACTTACCTCGTTAAACATCTCTATCAAATTGCTCTTGGCATCAGTCAAAATCCATAAGTTGTCTATGAGCGTCGGCACAGCAGCTACAGCATATCCTATCGTAATTATAGTCTCGACGGCCCTGGCTATCGTTTTCCTAAGGTGGGAAATACAACAATTCGAGGGCTTTTGTAACACCCGAAGACAAACCGCAGGCATGTAATCACCGATTCGCGTGTATGGAATGACGAGGCTCTGACCTGGTGGGGTTCATTGAACCCTCACCGCCCATTTGGAGAATGCCGTTGGAAGAAACGCGCGATTCGACTTTTAACTTCAAACATGCATGGTTCTATAGGGAGGTGAAATTGGGTTGAAGATTCATCAGATCCCTTTCACCGACCATAATGTACACCGCAATTTAGCTTTTATTGGTCTCGGTATTGTAAGGAACCCAGGTGAAGCAGTTATAATGATATCACTTGTAGATGCGGAATTGTAGGGTGAAGAGAGATTGTATTAAGGTGATCAGTCTGTGAGAAGATATGGAAGAAGGTGAGAAGAGAAGGAATCTCCTGAAGTAGGAGATTCTCTCTTTAGATAGTGTGGTGGCTACAGAGGTGGTTTATGACACGTTGTTGGCCTCTGCAGGCTTTTCAGCTGTACCTGATAGTCTCTCTAACTAGATAGCCCAATTGCTTAACAGGTATACACATCCTTCAGCGAGTCTGCGACCCCAACCTCTCGAGTTCTTTGATGAGGGAGACCAGCAAGGTCGACAGGGAAGTAAGCTGTTGAACATCAATATCCTTACTTTCCCCCTAGAAAAATAAAAAAAACACAACAAGCTAGTCAAGTAATGAGACGCAAACCTCAAGACCTAAATCCATAACATCATACTTCTATCAAAATTCATGAAGACTATCTCACCATTGCCCTGGTATTAACAATACCCACTCTCTAGGCGCTGAAAGTATATTTTATGTGAGCAGTCGTGGGCCTCGCAGGTAGGCATATAAAGTCAGACTGCAGTTTATATTAAACTTACAGAGCAAAATACAGAACTACACAGCAGTGATGTCTGCTATAACTATGTTACGGGTTGACAATCTCGATTGACGAACAGTGACGAAATGTAAGCATTAAACCATATCAATTTTATGAAAGCGTAATTTCGGATTAAGCTTTACAAGAATGTCTGGCCGGCCCGATCCATGGCCATCTATTTCATGACACGTATGTTTCCAATACAAGAATCGGTCTTGATTACTTCAAATTTTAGCAGATCATGATATGAGATATGGATTCGAAGTTCTGATTACATCAAACTAAATAAAAAGCAGGGAGAGGAAAAGAGAAGAATCCGGTAAGGTATAATCCATGCTCAAATTGCAAGATATGAAGGCTCACAATTTATGCATAACTCGCCGGAAAAACTGTATGACAGAATTTCCTTTTCTCGCCGGTGGCGTTTGTTGCAGGTCTGGAGTCGCCTCCATATAAGAAACGTCGACAATGTCCATATCTTGTCCGCGATCAACTGGAAAGCCTGGCTGTGCCCCCATTGTCGAGTCTGGAGTGTGCATCTCTGCAGTTTGCTCAACATCAAGAGAGATGTGCATTTCATCATCTTCAAGAAGAGATATGCTCTCAATCTCCGGAAAATCGACTTCTTTGTCTTCGGCTTGTAGCAAAGTTGATCGAGAAAATTGACTCTGCAACTCGTTTATCATGGTGTGAAAAAACTTGAACACCCATGTTCCCCTCGTCCATTCCATCCTATAGGCTTGTTCTGCGCGATTGAAAGTCTCTTGCGTCTCCTCAAATAGGGCACCGACTGCTCTGCCAGATGGCTGTGTGGCAGACGCCTCAAGATCCAGGCGTGTGAGCGCCAAGGACAGTTCTGCCAAGGCTCTTGCAGGGGGGTGGATTTGACGAAGTGGTTTCCTCGAGTAATCTGTTTAAAAAATTTAGGGCCTCATCATATTTTCCTTGTTTTCGCAAGGATCTAGAGCAAAGTTCAATCATCTCGAAGTCGGCAAAAGCTGGGACCCTATGTGTCACAATCGTTTCGCGAAGTATCTTGTTCGCTAGTGGTGAGATGGTTTGCTCGGCTACCTGATATCCGCTTCTGGGATATGTAACAGAGAGCTAAAAGTTGGTACGACACTGACCAAATAAAATGATTTGGGCCAACCGCTGTCAACAGAATAGTCTGGCAGGATTTGAGAATATGCTCTGAGTCGTCAAGTCGGCCTTCATCGCACCAGATGCCGCCAAGAGTCAGGTCTTTTCTAGCTTGGAAGTAACCCGTCGGGTCGACTGATGTGTCACTGAGACTATAGATATACTCTGCCCGATCATATCGCAGTTGCCTATACAGGCAAGGCGCATATGTCTGTATCATGCAGCAGGCATACATCTTGTCCTGGGGCGTAGATGGCCGAAATGTTTCGAGAAAGCTTTCAGCAACTTTTTCCAAAGACGCATACTGCCCCTTGCTCAAGAGTCTTAGAGTGTGCCTGTTTTGAAGCATGGCATCCGGAATCTGGTAGCCGTGGGTGCGGCAATTCAAGTTGTTGTAGTAATGGTCTGCGCTCTCTTGAAAGGGTTACTGCTCTGAGCAAGACAAAAAGTGCCTCCCAATGCCAAAACTCAAGAGCTCCGTGAACCACCTTCAGAAATAGTGCTCTTAATCCCAATATCTGGCTTAATATGAGAAGACTCATTTTCCTCCTGACATTGCGTCTTACTAAGTTAGGCCTCACACCTGATGCGTGGCCGGGCGTGTGGTCAGCGGCTCACCCCAGAAGGACACATGCACTAATGCGAAGGGGTCTACGAGTGGCGCATAAACCTGTATTTCACGGTTGCACATGTCCAAGCGGAGCTTAGAGAACTAATAATTAAGCAAGGTGTTATTTAAGATGATCGTAGTATGTTGTCAAGGTTCAGTCTAATGGATGTGATACCTCTCTTCGTCTCAGCTAGTCTTATATCTAATGCCCATCGTTTTTGCCATATGATCTAGCCCTACCAGGTCGCCTTCCATCGTCTGCTGCAACTCTGGAGCAATATACTCGGGCGTGTAGCCGCCTCCAAAGTCTATGACTATAGCGTCTTCGTCAGCGTTAATAACGACGTTATCTGGCTTCACGTCTCCCCAGACGATGCCACACTCATGAAGCCGATCCACTGTTGCTTGGACCTGACGAAACCACTTTAGTCTTGTTGCGACCGACGCATTCTCCATTCGTTCAGCAAGGGTATGTCCTTCGATATAATTTATGAGCATGCCCATCAGAACAGTGCTATTGTCGCCATCGCCCCACACGACAAGCCCCTCAAGCCTCGACGTCGGAAAAGGCAGGGAGAGTTTATCGCTTCGCGCAATTTGCGACAGTATGTCTATCTCTCTCAGATATCCATGTCCTGCGAAAGCGGCTTTGAAAAAGAAGACCTCGCCTGTGTCAACTCGCCGCACCTTCCTCGGGATATCGCTAAGTTCCTCGTCGCGTAGTCCATCATCCACTCGCTTAAGCTGAGACGC